CCAAGTTAAGAGATAATATCTACTTCTCACTAAGGAGAAAAGGCATATTTAGCTTATATACGTGCCTTTTCTCAACGAGAAAGTATAAACAATTTGAATTTACAATACATTGTCATGTTGGATTGAACCAGAAATGGTGCGTAAAAAATCAGTTTCGTCCAAAATTAAAACGCGAAAAGAAGCGTACAAACGACGATATCAAGTTTCTTCACATATTTGTCGTTCATGGAGAATATTAATCCTAACTGTAAAAGCTTTCAAAAAGTTTTTAAGTTTTAAACACACTAATAAAAATACTCCATGTGTGAGAAAGACATCGAATATATCAAAAGATGATCTAATTTATTCAAACTGTGTCAGTTATAGACATAACACACATATGCCTGTTACGTCTTGTAATTCAATAGAAACAATCGCCCACTATGATAGAAAAATTGTAAAGGATATTGTTAACAAAATTGTATCACAAGTTTGTCGTCGAGATAACGAACGAAAAAGGCAATTGCAATATAAAAAGAAAAAGAAAAATTCGGGAAATAATGTTGATAATGTAAAATCTTCGTCAAGACTCAATAGACAAAACAAGTGGTGGAACAATAAATCTTATTCTCAGAATGTATTATTGCCTGAGCAATTTAACCGTTCAACAAAATATTATCGAAATAAATATCAAAATAATAAAGATTTTCGTGATAAAGAAAATGCTCGAAAAAAATCACATATTTCACTAAAATATCACACCAATTCTAACTTTCGTGAAAGAATGAAATCACAGTCGAAGATTCATTGGTTTAATAAATATAATAATGATAAAAGTTTTCGTAACAAAGCTAAATCACGATCAAAGCATGTTCTTTTTAATAAATATCACAATAACATAAATTTCCGTGAAAAAGTAAAAACAAAATCGAACAATCACATTTTAAATACATATCATAACAATTTAGATTTTCGAAAGCAAGTTATAGCACAATCAAATATGAATATCTTAAATAAATATCATACTAATTCTGATTTTCGAAACAAATACAAAGCAAATATGAAAAGTCAAGCTTTGAACAGATATTATACTGATAATTCGATACGATTGAAAATAATTCAGCGTGCATTGAATTCGTATCATAGTAATAATACATTGATGACACGAAAGTCAAGACAACTTTATAATCAACGTAGAAGCATTTTAAAAAAATACGCCAGTATTCAAAGTCATAAATGTACATTGAAACACAGCAATTTATACAAACAAAATTTGAAAGAGTTTCGAAAAATTATTCGAGAAGGGCCTGATTATGTGCGTTTATCATGTGGATTAGCACTATTTCGTAATCAGGTTATACCGTTTGTTAAAGACAAGGATATAAAAGAAAACATGTCATATGAAACAAAAGAACATATTCAATCTTACTTTATGCATTCATCGTCAAGAGAACTAAAATGGATTTGTAAATCATGTTCAGACAAAATAAAGAAACGACAAATGTCAAGCCGAGCAATCATGAATAAGTTGAAAGTGTGTAACGTTCCGTCTGAATTAAAGAAATTAAATAATCTTGAAAAACATTTGAATGCTTTACGATTACCTTTTATGAAAATTGTAAATTTAACATCAGGAAAATTATCGAGTAGATTCTTACAAAAAGGTACTAAAGGGCCACTTCATTGTGTACCATCAGATGTAGAAGACACTGCAANAAACTGTATATTCGCCTTTTCGTTTTGAGATAATTAAAATCGAAAAAATAAAAGAACGTTAGGCGCCACTTAATTTTCTCATATGTCGAACAGCTGTGAATACAGCTGACAGTAGATAATGAATCATTGAGATAATTAATCGATCAATAAACAACACTTTCTAGAAGTCTGTCGATATGCTTTAGTAGAGTTTCTCAAGCGATCGATTTCATAATGGATGCCTTTCATATCCGATCTCAGTCGTATCAGCTGTTCGATAATTCCATTTCGATGCGAAATTCGTTTTTCGGATTCTCGGCCCGTGTGCTTCGCACCGCATTTCGTATTCGAGGCGAAGCTCGAATACCGTCTAGTTTTTTTTACTTTCTTTTTTACTTGATTGACGTACGCATCGCCTCTCGTCATTTTGTGACGCGATGATCTTGAGAACTACAAATCAGAAAAAACTGGTTGAAACGCAATGTGAAAGTATTGAGATCGAACTGTTGAAGTATTTTTTCTAATCGTTAATAGAACATTCGGCTCGCTCACAAGCACCGCTACAAAATGACGAATTTGAAAGGAATTCGACATTTTCAAGCTGCGAGATAATTAATATGACGTCATCACTAGATATTAGCCACTAAGAGAAAAATTGATTTTTAAACTTTTGTAGAGGTTATATAGTGACGTAGTGTTCAATGAATTCTCTATATGTTATTTATCATTTAATTAACTTTTATTATTTATTTTAGATTGTATAATCATTTGGATCAAATTCGATTTCATTTTATTTTCTAAACATTTGTAATGATTATATACATATATTTCACCGAATAATATGCTGTTAATAATCTAATATTTTTAAATTTATTTTAGATTACCTAATCTTTTAATTTCGGTTAAAAAAAAGTGTTTTAATTCGTATTTAATGTGTGCAATTATGATACGTACATTTTTATGCAATTGTGGTTAAAACATATTTTACTTGGTATTATAAAATGTGTTATGTTTATCCCAAGTTTTTATATAAATTCAAAAAATTTATTTTAGTTCTCAGTTAACATATGCTATTATGATACAAATATGTTTTGTCTAATAATATGTGATTGATATTATAATATTTTTAGGTTAATTTTGTACAGTTCCACGCTTTCATTTACATTAAAAAAAATGTCTTTAACCTTTTTTAATGTACTTTTATAAGATTTATTTTAGATTGTCTTGCCTTTTTTATTTAGATTCAAAAAATTCCCGTTATTTCTTTTACTATGTGCTATTATGATATGATATACAGATGTTTAATGTAATGATATCTTATGAATGTTGTAATACTTCTTGAAATTATTTTAGATTGTTGTATCGTTTTATTTAGATTCAAAAAAAATGTGCTTTAATGCTTTAATATATATATACGTAATTGTAACATAAGAATGTTTTACCACATATTATGTTGTTAATATTATAGTATTTTTTTAGATTTGTTTTAGATTGTTATGTACGCTTGTTCCATCGAATAATATGTTATTAATATTTTAATACTTTTAAAATTTATTGTAGATTGTCCTGTTTTTAGAATAAAAAAATTCTGTCAATTCTGTTTTATTTGTGCTAATATTATACGCACATCTTTAGCTCGAATAGTATGTTATTATTATTGTAATATTTCTCCAAGGTTATTTTAGATGATTTCAGCTTTTTATTTGTATATAAAAAATCCTTTTAATTTCTTTTAATGTAGAAATCGACTATACACATGTTTGATCCAATAATGTATTTTCCATACACTAATTATTGTAAGATCTACTTTAGATTGTCTTATCTTTTTAGATTCGGAAAATCTCTGTTAATTCTTTTTTATATGTATTATTATGATATACGCATGTTTGATTAAATAATATGCTTTTAATATTGTAATAATTCTTCAATTTATTCTAGATTATCTTATCTTTTGATTTAGATTGAAAAACAAATATCGTTATAATTCTTTTTTATGTTTATAATTGTAATATAAATATATTTATCCTCATATTATATTTTTGGTACTGGATTATTTTTAGACTTTTTTTTAGATTGTTATATGTACATCTTCCATCGAATAATATGTTATTGATATTCTAATCTTTTTTAAGTTTATTTTAGAAGGTTCCAGATTTTTATTAAGATTAAAAAGAATCCGTTTGATTCTTTTGAATATGTGCTGGTGTAATATACGGATGTTTGATCGAATAATATGTTATTGACATACTCATATTTGTAAGATTTATTTTAGATTACCTTATCTTTTTTTAGATTCAAAAACTGTGCTTTAATACTTTATATATATACGATTGTAGCGAACATATTTCACCACATAATAGATTGTTGATATTATATTATTTTTTAGATTTGTTTGAGATTATTATATACACATATTCCATTGAATAATATATTGCTGATATACTAATATTTTTAAATTCATTTTAAATTGTCTCATATTTCTAGATTAAAAAAACAAGCTGTTAATTGTGTTTTTTATATGCTGATATTATGTACTCATGTTCAATCAAATAATATGATATCGATAGTCTTATATTTTTAAATTTATTTTAGATTGACTCATCTTTTAGTTTAGATTCAAAAAAATGTGCTTTAATTCTTCTTTATGTGTTATTATGATGCATACATGTTAATACAATTGTGATAAAAATCATATTTCATCAGATATTATATTATTAATTTTTTATTTGTTTTTATTATGTGTTTTAGATTCTGTAATTAATTAACTACAAAAATTTCGGTTTAATTTCATTTTTTGTATATCACTAATTATAATATAGACATATTTCACATGTTATAATGTTATTGTTCTTGTAATTTTTTTTTATAAATTTCAGATTATATTTCGCATAAGCGTAATTTAGCAATAAAAAAACGAAATATTAAATTAAAGTCTAGCTTAAAAGAAAGTCACCAAGTTATAGACTTTGCAAAGTTTCTTACTTAGTATCAACTATATCTTCACTAAGTAGTACAGAAGATTTAGCTTGAAAGAAACTTGTCTTTTCATTATCTCATCAAGTTAAGAGATAATACCTATTTCTCACTAAGGAGAATAAGTCGTATTTCACTAATTTACGTGCTTAATCTCAACGAGAAATTGTAACTATTTTAAATTTTAAATATTTTGCCACGTGTGATTGAATCAGATATGGTTCGTAAAAAATCAGCTTCATCAAAAGTTAGGTCTAGAAAAGAAGCTTACAAACGACGACAACAAGTTCATCCACATATTAGTCGTTCATGGAGAGTATTAATTGTAACCATGAAAGCTGTCAAAAGATTTTTAAGTTTTAGACACACAGCTGAAGCTGTTTCGTGTGTGCAGAATGTGTTGAGCATATCAAAAACTGATTTGATTTATTCGAACTGTGTCAATCGTGGTCGTAACATACATACACAAGATAAATTTTCTAATTCACCAAAAAAAAACGAACACTTTGATGATTTAAAAATTATCAAGGATATTGTTAAAAAAATGGTAACAAGAGTTTGTCGTCTAGATAACGAACGAAAAAGGCAATTTGAAAAAAGAAAGAAAAATAAAAAATCAGGAAATAATGCTAATAGTGAAAAATCTACTTCAAAACTCAGTAGACAAAGCAAGTGGTGGAAGAAAAAATCTTCTCAGAATGTGCTATTGCGTGAACAACAATTCGAACGTTCAAGAAAATTTTATCGAAACAAATATAAGAATAATATTGCATTTCGTGATAAAGAAAAGGCTCGGTCAAATTCGCATATTTCAATAAAATATCATACCGATTCTAATGTTCGTGAAAAAATTAAAGCACATTCAAAGATTTATTGTCGTCATAAATATTATAATAATACAGTTTTTCGTGAGAAGATTAAAGCAAAATCAAATAATGTTTTCTTAAATAAATATTATAATAGTATAGACTTTCGCAATAAAGTTAAAACAAAGTCAAAAATTCATCTTTTAAATAAATATCATAATAATTCAAATTTTCGAAATCAATATAAAGCACGTGCAAAAACTCAGGTTTTGAAAAAATATTATACTGATAATTCGATAAGATTGAAAATGATTCAGCGTGCATTGAATTCATATCGTAGTAATAATGCATTGATGGCACGAAAATCAAGACAGCTTTATAATCAACGTAGACGTATTTTAAAAAAATATGCTACTTTTCAAAGTCATAAATGTACATTTAAACATACCAATATATATAGAGAGAATTTTAAAAAGTTTCAGAAAATTATTCGAGAAGGACCTGATTATGTGTGTTTATCATGTGGATTAGCACTATTTCGTAATCAGGTTATACCATTTGTTGTAGAAAAGTATATAAAAGAAAATATGTCATATGAAATAAAAAAACATATTCAATCTTACCTTAAGTACTCTTCCTCCACAGAACAAAAGTGGATTTGTAAATCATGTTCAGACAAAATAAAGACACGACAAATACCAAGCCGATCAGTCGTGAATAAGTTGAAAGTATGTGACGTTCCGACTGAATTAAAAGAATTAAATAATCTCGAAAAACATTTGATTGCTTTACGATTACCATTTATGAAAATTGTAAATTTAACATCCGGTAAATTATCAAGTAGATTTGCACAAAAAGGTACTAAAGGACCACTTCATTGTGTACCATCAGATGTGCAAGATACAGTAACTATCTTACCTCGCCCAGTTGATAAATCGATGATGGTTCGTTTGCAATTGAAACGTCGACTAAAATACAAAGCTGTATGGGAAGAACAATTAATAAATTCAAATGATGTAAGAGNCTTTTGGGCTTTTTCTAATCTCATTGGACTCTACTTATCGGCAAAATATCGGCTTAAAAGCTTTGAATCACTTCGAACGGTTCCCTCGTTAGTATCAACTATATCTTCACTAATTTTTACAGAAGATTTAGCTTGAAATAAACTTGTCTTTTCATTATCTCATGAAGTTAAGAGATAATATCTACTTCTCACTAAGGAGAAAAGGCATATTTAGCTTATATACGTGCCTTTTCTCAACGAGAAAGTGTAACCACTTTGAATATACAATATTTTGTCACGTGTGATTGAACCAGAAATGGTGTGTAAAAAATCAGTTTCGTCGAAAATTAAAACGCGAAAAGAAGCGTACAAATGACGATATCAAATCTCTTCACATATTATTCGTTCATGGAGAATATTAATTCTAACTGTAAAAGCTTTCAAAAAGTTTTTAAGTCTTAAACACACTAATACAGATGCTCCATGTGTACGAAAAACTTTGAATGTATCAAAAGATGATTTAATTTATTCAAAATGCGTCAATTATAGACATAACACACATATACCTGTTACGTCCTGTAATTCAATACAAATAAACGCACACGGTGATGATGAAAAAATTGTCAAGGATATGGTTAAAAAAATTGTATCAAGAGTTTGTCGTGCAGATAACGAACAAAAACTACAATTACGAAATAGAAAGAAAAAGAAAAATCCAGGAAATAATATTAATAATGAAAGATCTTCGTCAAAATTTAGTAGGCAAAGCAAGTGGTGGAAGAAAAAGTCTTCTCAGAATGTTTCATTACGAGAACAACAATATAAACGTTCAAGAACATTTTATCGAAATAAATATAAGAATAAAATTACATTTCGTAATAAAGAAAAAGCTCGGACAAATTCATATATGTCAAGAAAATATCATACAAATTTAAGTGCTCGTGACAATATCAAATCACATACAAAGATGTATTCTATTCAAAAATATCATTATGATATAATTTTTCGTGAGAAAATAAAAGAAAAATCAAAAAATAATTTCTTATACAGATATCACAATAGTATAGACTTTCGCAATAAATTTAAAACACAATCTAAGAATGATATTTTAAATAAATAGAATAATGAATCAGATTTTTTGAAATCAATATAAAGTACGTACGAAACTTCAAGTTTTGAAAAAATATCATACTAATGATGCGATACGATTGAAAATGATTCAGCGTGCATTGAATTCATATCGTAGTAATAATACATTGATGACACGAAAGTCAAGACAACTTTATAATCAACGTAGACGTATTTTAAAAAAATATGCTACTTTTCAAACTCATAAATGTACATTTAAACACACCAATATATATAGAGAGAATTTTAAAAAGTTTCAGAAAATTATTCGAGAAGGACCTGATTATGCGTGTTAATCATGTGGATTAGCACTATTTTGTAATCAGGTTATACCGTTTGTTGAAGACAAGTATATAAAAGAAAACATGTCTTATGAAATAAAAGAACATATTCAATCTTACTTTATGTATTCATCGTCCAGAGAACAAAAATGGATTTGTAAGTCAAGTTCAGACAAAATAAAGAAACGACAAATGCCAAGCCGAGCAGTCGTGAATAAGTTGAAAGTGTGTGACGTTCCGTCTGAATTAAAGAAATTAAATAATCTTGAAAAACATTTGATTGCTTTACGATTACCTTTTATGAAAATTGTAAACTTAACATCAGGAAAATTATCGAGTAGATTGTCACAAAAAAGGTACTAAAGGGCCACTTCATTGTGTGCCATCAGATGTAGAAGACACTGTAACTACATTACCTCGTCCAGTTGATAAATCCATGATGGTCCGATTACAACTGAAACGATGACTAAAATACAAAGCTGTATGGGAACAACAATTAATAAAATCCAAATGACGTAAGAGATGCACTATTTGTTTTAACTTAGATGCATCCAGGATATAAAAGTATAAACATAAATGATATTCATGAAAATTATCTTACATCTGATCAAGAAAAAAACTATGACAATAACATTGAGTTGATAGTTGAACCAATTAATGTTGAAACCATATCAGAAGAAACTGTCATTAAACAAACAGAAGTATCTAATGAAAATAATCTAAAAAGATTAGCTTTGGGTGATATTGATAATACTACTGACAGTGATGAAGAAATAAATGAGAATGAACAAGAAATTCGTACTAAATATAATATTGATACAGATTCATGTACTCAACCATGTGATTTTAACAATTTTTTAGTATATGATAAAGAACCATGCGTAGTAGCACCAGCAGAGAAAAATAAATTAAGTTCATTATTAACAGATAAAACAATTGAAGCATTAGCCTTTCCTCATTTATTTCCAGATGGTCAAGGCTCATATGACGAAGATCGTCAAACAATTCTTAGATGGAAAGAATATTGTAAAGCNTAAAAGAAAGTCACTAAGTTTTCGACTTTTTGAAGTTTCTTACCTAGTATGAACTATATCTTCACTAAGTAATACAGAAGATTTAGTTTGAAGGAAACTTTTTTTATCATTATCTCACCAAGTTAAGAGATAATATATATTTCTCACTAAGGAGAATAAGCCGTATTTAGCTAATATACGTGCTTAATCTTAACGAGAAAGTGTAACCATTTTTTAATTGCAATATATTGTCACGTGTGATTGAACCAGAAATGGTACGTAAAAAATCAGTTTCGTCAAAAATTAAAACGCGAAAGGAAGCATACAGACGACGGTTTCAAGTTTCTTCACATATTAGTCGGTCATGGAGAATATTAATTCTAACCGTAAAAGCTTTCAAAAAGTTTTTAAGCTTTAGACACACTAATAAAGATGTTCCATGTGTGCGAAAGACGTTGAATATATCAAAAGATGATTTAATTCATTCAAACTATGTCAATTATAGAAATAGCACACATATACCTATAACATGTTGTAATTCAATACAAATGAACGCTGACAGCGATGATCAAAAAATTGTGAAGGATATTGTTAACAAAACTGTATCACGAGTATGTCGTCGTGATAATGAACGAAATAGGCAGTTACAAAATAGAAACGAGAAAAAGAAATCAAGAAATAATGTACATAATGAAACATCTATCTTAAAACTTAGTAGACAAAGCAATTGGTTGAAGAAAAAAACTTCTCATAATGTTTCATTTCGTGTAAATGAAAACGAACGTTTAAGAAAATGTTATCACAATAAATATCAAAATAATACTGATTTTCGTAACAACGAAAAAGCTCGAAGCAATTTACATGTTAGAATGAAATATCATGCTGATTCAAATGTTCGTGAAAAAATTAAATCACATTCAAAAAAAGATAGTTTCCAAAAATATCATAATGATAAAATTTTTTGTGAAAAAACTAAAATTCAATCAAGGAATAATAGTTTTCGTAAATATCATAGTAATACAACATTTCGTAATAAAATCAAAACAAAGTCCAAGATTCATATTTTAAATAAATATCATGATAATTCAGATTTTCGTAATCAACTGAAAACAAAGTCCAAGATTCATGTTTTAAATAAATATCATAATAATTTAAATTTTCGTAATCAATATAAAGCACATTCAAAAAAAAGAGTTTCGAAAAAGTATAAATCTGATCCAATGATACGAATGAAAACAATTGAACGTGCAATGAATTGGTATCGTAAAAATAATACACTGATGAGACAAAATTCCAGACGACTTTATAATCAATGTAAACGTATTCTAAAAAAATATAATGCTATTCAAAACCATAAATGTATATTTAAGCACAGAAATTTATACATGAATAATTTGAATAGATTTCGACAAATAACTAAAGAAGGACCTGATTATGTTTGTATATCATGCCGGTTAGCACTTTTTCGTAACCAAGTGATACCATTCGTTGAAGAAAAATATATAAAACAAACCATGTCAGATGAAATAAAAAAACATATTCAATCTTACTTTATGTATTCATCGTCAAGAGAACTAAAATGGATTTGTAAATCATGTTCAGACAAAATAAAGAAACGACAAATGCCAAGCCGAGCAA